CACCATCTGAGGGGGGTGGATCTGTGCACCGTCTGAGAGGGGAGTCTGTGCACCATTTGAGGGTGGTGGGTCTGTGCACCATCTGAGGGGGGTGGGTCTGTGCACCATCTGAGGGTGGTGGGTCTGTGCGCCGTCTGAGGGGGGTGGGTCTGTGAGCATTCTGGGAGGTGGGTCTGTGCACATGTGGGGGAGCATCAGCGTGCCATGTGGAGGGAGTTTGGTGTAAGTAGCAGGTGCACAGCCTGTGGCCCAGTGACGTCACCAGTAGTGATGACCCCTGTGGAAGCGGCCACAAGGGAGCAACAGCTTACCCAGCAGTCCCTCCAGACTGGAGCCAGTAAAGGGCATCAGCTCGTGAGTCTAAAGAGACATTTTGATCAAGATGGCGGTTATGTAACAGCAGTGACCGTGTTACCCTGATGGGGAGTGTGCTGGTCTTCTGTGTGGCCTAACAAATTACCATAAACAGAGCGTCCAAAAGTAATGCCTACTTATCGTCTTGGTCCAGGGTTAGGAGCGTGGCCCTGCTAGGCTGGGTGCTCTGCTCAGGGTCTCCCAAGGTGGCGATTGAGGTGCTGGCAGGGGTCTCAGCTGAGGCTTGGTGTCCTTCTCACGCTCCTGAGGTTGTTGCCCAGTTCACGTCCTTGAAGCTGTGTGACTAAGGGCCCCTTGTCTCACCTGCTGTTGGCCAGGGTCACTCTCAACTCCTGGGGGCCACCCGCGGGTCCTAGCCACAGGGCCCTTCCAATCATAGCAGCTTACCTCTTCAAAAGGGGCCTGGTCGTTCTGGGGGCTCTCCTGATTAGGTCAGGCCCACCAGGACATCTGTTTGATTAACTCAAAGTCAACTGATCAAGGATTTGTATCACATTGGTAAAATCTCTTCATGTTTAGCCACGCAGCCCACCCCTACTAGTGGGAGCGGATCACACAGACGTGTATGGCAGGGCAGGAACCGCGGGGACCATCTGCCTGCCACAGCGCTTATGGGAGCTCACGTTTCACTTTGTAGATTTTGTGAGGTATGACTTTTGTTTGTTTGTTTGTTTGTTTTGTGAGGGAGATCAGCCCTGAGCTAACATCCGTGCTAATCCTCCTCTTTTTGCTGAGGAAGACAGGCTCTGAGCTAACATCTATTGCCAATCATCCTCCTTTTATTCTTTCCCAAAGCCCCAGTAGATAGTTGTATGTCGTAGTTGCACATCCTTCTAGTTGCTGTATGTGGGACGCGGCCTCAGCATGGCCGGAGAAGCGGTGCCTCGGTGCGCGCCCGGGATCCTAACCTGGGCCGCCAGTAGCGGAGCGTGCACACTTAACCGCTAAGCCACCAGGCCGGCCCAGGTATGACTTTTTTTTCAAAAAGCCCATATCCCTTTACAATCAGGGAAGTAGCGTCAAATGGAATCCCGTCAGAACACAGCTGCCTCTACGGGCACAGCAAGGTCATCGGGACCCAGGGGCAAAGCCGCAGCCAGCACAAGGACTTCACAGTTAGCATCCCACAGGCCACTATATCATTTCTCATCCACAGTGTTCCCTGCTGGAGCTCCGCAGATATTCATACTAGAATTAAAAACAAGAGCCAAACCAATGGGCACGGGCCAGCCCTGGTGGCTGAGGGGTTAAGTTTGGCGTGCACCACTTCAGCGGCCCGGGTTTGGTTCTGGGTGTGGACCTACACTACTCGTGTGTCAGTGGCCATGCTGTGGCGGCTGAAACACACACAAAAAAAGAGGAAAATTGGCAGCGGATGTTACGCAGGGCAAATCTTCCTCAACGAAAAAAAAACCCAACAGGCATCCGATGGTGCTCACACTGGGTAACCGCCACCAAAATACAGAGGTTTCAAGTGCCCAGCAACAATGGGCGGGGGAGGGCAGAGGCTGGGACCGCCCAGAGGCTCACAGCCCTGGGCAGGGCCACCAAGCAATGCACCAGAGGTGACCCAAGGAGGGAGTGACACCCGAGGAGCCACCTGTGGGTGTGGCCGCCATGTAGCCTGGAAGGCAGTTCGCACCTGCACCAGGGCCAGCACAGCACGGAGGACAGAGGGCACCTGAGGGCGCCAGGGGGTCACGCCAGGGCGATGCCAGGGGGTCACACCAGGTGGATGCCTGGGGGGCTGTGGCAGCAGGATGTGACATGGGGAGAGCTGCCACATCTGGAGGGATGGCCACACCCAAGAGGGTGGGGCCGTGGGGTGGCGACATGTGGGTGGGGGGTGTAGCCTGTGGGATCTGTGAAGGATCAGGCCTGGAGTTGCTCTGCTGAGGCTCGGCTGTGCTCACATTCACTCCCGGGGCAGAGCTGAGCTGGCTTCCCTCCCTCTCTGTGCCCACTGAGGGCCACTCAGCGGCGACAGGCTACAACTGCTGAATCCAGGCAGGAACAGACCACAAGACGCACACTCTGAGTGGGCCACTCTTTCTCCTCTGGGGAAACACAAGAGAGGATGCTAGGACGCGGCCCAAGACAGGGAGAGATGCTTCAGGAACCAGGCCTTCCACTAGCAGGCCAGCAAAGCGCAGGTAGGACCAAGCGCGAATGTCGCCTGGCCGCTCCCGGCAGGGCTTGATGGGGACAGGCTCCCCTTTCAGGCACTAACTCCTGGGAAGCCAGAAAACACATTCCCATGAGATCAGCATCTGGCAACGGCAGAGCCATGGGCGATACCACCTACAGCATCAAAAGTGAGGACATAGTCTTTTCTGCAGGGCAGAGGACACTTGTTTAAATCAACATTTACATACACGGCACCGACGCAGCTGTAAAAGTCTGCTTGCCTGACCCTGGAGCAATAACGACTGCAGGGATGAACTTACACGAACACGAATAAAAACAGTTGCTGGCTTTTACCCTGAGGGGCAAGAGGCCACTGCACATGTGACGACACTGAGGGTGCCAAAGAGAGGACATGGAGCCACGGGGGCCTTGACGGGTCCCAGCCACGTGGACCATTTTTTGGGGGCAGCAGGGTCCAAGTGGATGGCAGCACTGGCACCCGGTCCACCTAGTTGCGGGGAGAGGACCTGTTCTGGATGGTGCACGATGACAACTAGCTGTGCGGACACACTGTGCCACCCCACAGGGGTTATGGGCTGGCATGGCACAGGAAGCCTATGGCATGACCATCAAAAGATGCTCAAGGCAACATATTTTCAAGCACCATGTCTGACTGGGCAAGAGAAACAATAGAAAAAATAAACAAATGGGACTACATCAAACTAAAAAGCTTCTGCACAGCAAAGGAAACCATCAACAAAACGAAAAGACAACCTAACAATTGGGAAAAGATATTTGCAAACCATACATCTGATAAGGGGTTAATTTCCAAAATATATAAAGATCTCATGCATCTCAACAACAAAAAAACTAACAACCCAATTAAAAAATGAGCAAAAGACCTGAACAGACATTTCTCCAAAGAAGATATACAGATGGCCAACAGACACATGAAAAGATGTTCAACATCATTAACTATCAGGGAAAGGCAAATCAAAACTACAATGAGATATCACCTCACGCCCACCAGAATGGCCATAATTAACAAGACAGGAAACAACGTGTGTTGGAGAGGATGTGGAGAGAAGGGAACTCTCATACACTGCTGGTGGGAGTGCAAACTGGTGCAGCCACTATGGAAAACAGTATGGAGATTCCTCAAAAAATTAAGGCTAGAACTACCATACGATCCAGCTATTCCACCGCTGGGTATTTACCCAAAGAACGTGAAAACACTAATGCGTAAAGATACATGCTCCCCTGTGTTCACTGCAGCATTATTCACAATAGCCAAGACATGGAAGCAACGTAAGTGCCCATCGAGGGAAGAATGGATAAAGAAGATGTGGTATATATACACAATGGAATACTACTCAGCCATAAGAAACGATGAAATCCAGCCATTTCTGACAACATGGATGGACATTGAGGGTATTATGCAAAGTGAAATAAGTCAGAGGGAGAAGGTCAAATACCATACGATCTCACTCATTAAGTAGTAGACAATAACAACAACAAACAAACACAAAGAGACAGAGATTGGATTGGTGGTTACCAGAGGGGAAGGGGGGAGGGAGGAGGGTGAAAGGGATAATTAGGCACATGTGTGTGGTGATGGGTTGTAACTAGTATTTGGGTGGTGAACATGATATAATCTATGCAGAAATAGAAGTATAATGATGTACACCTGAAATTTATACAATGCCATAAACCAACGTTACCGCAATAAATAAAAAAACAAACAAACAAAAAAGATGCTCAAGGAAATCAATTTGGCAGTTCCTCAAAAAGTCAGACACAGAATTGGCAAATGATCCAGCAATTCTGCTCTGGGTGCAGACCCGAAAGAGCTGAAAGCAGGGCTCACACAGATACTGTACGCTGATATTCACGGCAGCACTGTTCAAAAGAGCCAAGAAGTGGAAACAACCCAAGTGTCCATCGATGGACGAATGGATAACAAAATGTGGTCTATCCATACAATAGGATATTTTCCAGCCTTAAAAAGGAAGGAAATTCTGACACATGCCACAATATGGATGAACCCTGAGGACATTAGGCGAAGTGAAAAAAGCCAGTCACAAAAAGATAAATACTATATGGTTCTACTTATATGAGGTACCCAGAGTAGTCAAGATCATAGAAAGAAAAAGCAGAATGGTGGTTACCAAGGGCTGGGGGAGGGGAAATGGAGTTAGTGTTTAATGGGGACAGAGTTTCAGTTTCAGAAGATGAAAAGAGTTCTGGAGATGGATGGTGGTGATGGTTGCGTAACAATATGAACATACTTAATGCCATTCAACTACACACTTACAAATGTTTGGAATGGCATAATTTTATGTTTTATATACTTTACCACACATAAAATAAAAACACTCCCATTCCTTACTGTTGTTAGGTGGTGGGGACGAGGACACAGCAGTGGACGCCGGGGTGAGGGGCACTGGCTGGTGCATCCCAGGCCAGGACAGCTAAGGCGGGAGGGAGCACAAGTGAGGGGTGTTAAGGCGGGCCCTGTGGGCCCAGACGGCTCCTGGCAGCACCGGACAGCCTGGGCCTCCGTGTGAGTCAGGCCATGCCGATGGCCCTGCCACCTGACCTGTTCGCCCTTCCAGTCCAGTCTCCAATCTCAAACGGGCCCAGGCTCAGCTCACCGGGAAGTTGGAAGAACGCCCAGTACATTCAGTTAGTCACCCAGAGACAGCATATTTTGTCTTTGGCTTGGGGCTTTGGAAAACACTTGAGAGAAATGCTAAGGCTGTCTCGAATCACAACCCACGAGGGGTTGTTAAAGGACAGGGCTTGGCAGTGACGCCCAGGTTCTGAGCAAGAGAGACCCATGCTCACCCTCCTTTCCGCTTCTTCCCATTTCTGTTTTACTTCCAGGAGGCTAGAGGTAACCTTAGGGAACAGCATATCAAGTGGGGCTGTGGCTAAATCTAGGAGTAACAAACATAGCCAGCAATGGACCCAATGACTGTGAGGCTATGTGTCCTCACTGGAGAAATTCTTCAGTTGTCAGGTGGAAAGAGAGTCGTTTTGTTGGTGCATGGGAGTTCAAATGGTGTAGAAGGGTGCATCTGAAAGCTCAGTAGCCAAAGGGGTGGACCAAACCAGTTATCCATTTACTGCATCTCACCCCCAAAAGGGCCCTTCATTGCCTGCTCTGTTCAAATGGAGTTGAACTATGCAGCTGACACCACGTTAAGTTTTGTCAGTAGAGGGCGCCGGAGAGACACTGGAGGAGGAGAGGCTTCGTTTCCTGGCTCCCGTGTGCTTCCTCAGGAGGCTCCTGAAGCACGCGTGGCTTCCCCAGCATCAGTCTCCTGACTTGCGTGTGGCTCTCCCAGCGTCCAGCTCCTGAAGCACGCGTGGCTTCCCCAGCACACAGCAGTAAGCAGCACCAGCAGCCAGCACCTTCCCCCAGCATCCTCCCTGCGACAGCTGCCAGCACCCTAGAGGGCATATTTCCAGCAAGTTCTGCAGGCACAGCACCCCAGTGATTTCTTGGCCATCCAGTGTACCTCAGCTTTGCCTCTCCAGCAAGGTCTGGACCTCAGCCCAGGGGTGAAGAACAGGGCTCTGCCCTGGGCATTGCAATTCCGTTATAGTCAGTGGTTTTGTATATCACACCTTCCCTGCTCGAACCGCTGTGCCCGGATCCTGTCCACTGGCTGCACCCTGACTCACACGGCTCACCCTAGTGGGCGCCATTCAGGGGCAGCTCTCAGACCCTGGCCTGGCCCTGCCTTCCTCTGCATGAAGGAACACTGGATACTCTTCATTCCCCCTTCCCCGGCCTGGGATGAGTTATGTAGCCACAATGTGAGGCAGCACAGCATCTGCGATTTTGCACAGTGAGTCAAATCCAAGAAGATAGTCGAAATAGTTCAAGTCGTTTCTGGTACAGATTTTAAAATGATGAACCTTCTTGGGCAACTGCACTAGCGAGCAGTTTCAAATGTCACGTTTGGTTGCAGGCTACATCTCGGCCTCGTTCTCTGGGTGGATAAAGGCCAAAGGATTCCTGCTGGAGTGCCCCGGGCAGTGGAGGGCGCCTTCCAGGGCCCAGGGTCGCAGGAAGCGGGGGAGACCCGGATCACATCCCACCCCTCCCTGGCCTCGGTCTCCCACCTCCTCCACTTGGACCCCCAGCCCCTGCCCCATGCACACGCTGCCGCCATCACCCAGACTGCTCTCCAGCAACATGGACCAGCCAGCCCAAGTTGGGCTCTCATTTACTGTCACCCCAATTCTGCTGCCCCCAATCCTCCGATCAGACACTGCAGGGCTGCACCCCTGCCTGGAGCCACTTCGCTCCTCTGTCCTGCCCAAACAACCACGTTTAGCAGCTGAGGCTTAGTATCTTTGTACATAGGCTCAGAGTCCCTACCCGAGAGGTATCTCCTCCAGGCCCCACACTGAATGACCGCTGCCTGACCGCGCAGCTCATTCCAGGGCCCAGCCTCTCCCCCACCCAAGGGTAGCAGTGGCATGCCCCTCCTCGAGGGTGCCCACATGGGTGTTATGAGGGCTGCAGGGCACCCGAGACCAAGTGGAGGACGACAGACACAGAGTGCGCAGTTACCTGTATGCATTTTTGGAAACGGGGTGAGGATCAAACTTAAAGAAGATGATGCACATGGGTCCCCGAGAGTGGCTTTGCTCGCACAGGTCACGTGGTCTACGGAAAAAGGAAAAAAATGAGTTGAGTGAGAGGCAGACGACAGAACTGCCTCCCCAAACCAGCAACACTCCCTGGCCCAGAACAGAACCACCTCTGTGATGTCCCCAACCCTCACTGGATGAGGGAGAACCACGTGTCAGATGCTGCGACACTCGCCGTCGCCACACAACCATCTCCCTAAACCCACACACTCATCAGCACTGGCTAGACTGTCCCCTGACACCTGCGACGCTCGCTGGCCCTGGACACACTGCATGGGGGCGGCAGGTAGGAGCTGGAGGGGCTCCTACCTGCCACCCCGACAGCAGCAAATCCAAGAACAACGAGCTCACTTGGGGCAGCAGGTGGCGGTCAGCTCTGCGGCTTGCTTGGCGCCCACCAGACGGCCCATTCTTTCCCCAGCAACAGTGCCAAGGCCAGCCCCCAGCCACTCAAGGCAGGGCCACATCCGACTGGCCTGAGTACACCCTGCAGCAGTGTCCACAGAGGGCCGTCGGCACACGCCTTCCACCCACAACGGCCCAGGCGCAGCCAGGGGACCAGGTGGGCCCCGTGAATCCCGCATCGGCAGGCGAGGAGGTGGACGCACTCCCAGGCCCCAGTCAGTGCAGACTCAGCGTGCACCCACACGCAGGCCCTGCGCCCAGGGACCTCCGGGACCAGCAGATCTTCTCCCAGAACCAAGCTGAGCACTGAGATGAGATCCCAAAGCCACTAACCCTGGACAAGGTGACCGTGAGAGTCTCTAGTTCTGCAGGTGTGCAACGAGCTGAGGACATGGCTTCAGAGCAGATCCAGCACCCAAGCCAGGAAATGGGCAGCAAAGAGGCTGTTCGGGTCCTGAAGGGAGCTGAAAAGACGCCCCCAGAAGGGCCTGATAAGTGAGGGGGGAAGGGTGTGTTCAGTGTATGTGCACGTATGTGAGGCTGCGAGCTCTGTGCACATGTGTAAGTGCATGGGTATGTCTGTGTGTGTGCACTTATGCACATGTCTGCATGTGTGTGGCACATATGCATGTGTGTGTGTCTAAAGGAAGCCACTGAGCTCCAAGTGCCCTACCTCGGGGCGCCTTGGGGTCGGGGAGGGTCCGTGCAGTCACAGGGTGTTAAGTGCCCTGTGTCTGCTAGAGCAGGGCCTGGGCTCCGCCCCAGCAGAGCATCTGTAAGGCAAGTCCGTGAGTCAGGCCTCACTAGGGACAGCAGTGGGGTGGGATGCCCAGAACCAGCACATCCTTGTTCCAGGTGTCAAGACAAGCCATGGCCACTCTGCTTCTCCTGCCCCTCTGCCCCTAGGTCTCGGGGCGGCCACACAGGGGAGGGGCCCACCTGCTGGGCAGCGCACCGGCAGTCTTCCCCACAGGCACATGGGCAGCGGGGGGGGGGGGAGGGGGGGCTGACGTCCACACACCACAGGTCCAGGAGAGGACACCCCGGGCCTGGAGACAGGCAGGTAACAGGGACGCGAGAACCCCTGCTGACGCCACTGCACTCGCTCCAGCCCTCGGGTCTCTGCAATGAAAGCTTTCCTGTCTGAGGCCTCACAGAAGGAGGACGTGCCCACTACACCGACCCTCCGTCAAAGCTGTGCCAGGACCACAGAGGCCGAAGCCCAAGGCTGGCACTGTGGACATGACCGCAGCTGAGAGCCACGAGGAAGCTGCCAAGCTCATGGGGCCTTCCTGTGGATGACACCATGGTGTGATGACACCATGCGGTCCCTGCCACCCCACTCACTTCTGCTCACTGGTCTGGCCAGGGTGGGAGGGTGGGTGAGGGTAGAATTCACTCCACTACTGTCCCCACTGGCTCCCACAGGCCCTGGAGGGACCCCCAGGACTCAGCCCCGTGTTCCTCTTGGCCCCCATGGGCTTGGGTGTTGGTAACGGCCTCAGGGTACTAAGCTTTGCCCTCAGTAAGGAGCCGGTGGCTGTGCAGGTGGGTTGTTGCCATGGTGATGAGCGCCATCTGCAGAAGCACAGGGGACGTGCGGCCATTTGAGATGGGCTGCTGGCCACTGGCCCTTGTAGGATGCTGTGCCAAAGGCAGTGCCCGATGCAAAAGAGGCCCCGAGGTGATGGGGGCCAGGTTGGGTTCCTGCCCTTAGGCGCCCATCATCCCAAGGGTGCCTGACGATCCCAAAACTGGTGGGCAGGCTGTTGGGACCACCCTCCTGGTGAAAACAACTCAAAATGCTTGAAAGAATATGAAAACATCCTAAGAGCAGCCAAGAGCTGATGAGATCATACACGGTTTGGCCAACGTCTCAGAGAACACGGGAACCCAGAGAGGAAAGAACACAAAGTATGGGGCCATCCTGCCCCGGGGCCTCGGCCCATCTGAGCACACGGGGCTCTGGTGGCCTTGGGGGCGAGGGAGAGAGAAGACAAGGCCCAGGGCCACCCCGAGACAGGGATCTAGTAGAAAACCCCCCACCAAGTAAAGCCAGGACCGCAAAGAGCAGTGCTCCCAGGGTGAGGGTGGGCTACATTTCAGCCACCCAGGGCCCACGGGGATAGCGCGCAGAAGTGGGGGAGTCCCTGAGAAGTCCCACCGGCAGCGCCGGGCCACACCAGGAGTCCAGGGAGCCTCATGACAAGACTTGGTTTGAGGGGCTTCCATGCCAGTAGTGCCCCCAGGCACCTGGCAAACCAACGCTCTCATCTTCATCCTAGACCTCCAAGAAGTCTCACAAATAATCTCAAGGACGGAGAGCAGTATGCAGTCAGAAAGAACCACACAACAAAACAAAGCACCATGAGCAAGAAGCAGCAGAAAGAGATCTCCACCCATCTCGTGAACCAACCACGCTCTGCAGGAAAAAGGAGCTTGTGAGCATCTGCAGGGAAGAAGAAGTGACAAAGAGCAAACCAGATGGTTCACTAAGCTCCAGAGAGAACTTCTAGAAATGGAAGCTATAGCAATCACAAATTAAAACTCAGCAGTGGATTTAAGAGCAGATTAGACACAGCTGCTGAGACAGGTCAGCAGAATGATCCAGAATGCAGTGCAGGGAGACAGGAAGCATGCTGGGTCTCCCAGGGCCCCAGGTGTCCCATCTGCCAGGTGCAGCTGATGGGGTTCCCAGCACCGGCCACCTGACCACAGTCCAGCACAGAAAACACAGGCCCCCTCATGCTGGGGGAGCTAGTCTCTCCCAGACACAAGAATGCTCCAGGCGAGGCCAGCTGCTGATGTCTGTGCCAACCAGGCCAGCTGCGGTCAGTGGGAGAAGCCCTGCCAGCCCATCCCTGCTGAAATCCCACCAGCCAGAGCCCCACCAGGACGGAGGGCTGCCCCCACCAGGAATGTGCTGCCCCACCAGGAACGTCCTGCCCCACCAGGGACGTGCCACTCCAGGCTATCAGAGGAGGAGGTCATCATGTCTGCCTTGGCCTCCCACATCGCCACCTGGGCTGCGTGCCTGGCCACTGGGTGAGGCCACTGGTTGGGGCAGCTCTGGCTACTGATGCTCACAGGCCAGGTGCAGAGCCCTCCAACTTGGCTGCAGGACCTCGCCATCCTAGCCGGCCCGGGGGGGTGGCAGACCAGCCCTCCAAACGGCAGTGGGGAGGGCCCCGTGGACAGAAGGCAGGGCACCAAAGGGTCTCTAGGCAGCCTGGCGCCCGAAGTGTGGATACAGAGCCCAGGGCTGCGGCCTTGACGAAGACGCGGTCATTGGGAGGGAAGGACCAGAGGAAAGCCAGCCCCTGGGGAGGGGACCATCAGGAACTGCCTTTCTCTCCAATCCCTCGCCCCCCACTCAAGCCAGGCCCGTTGCCCACCGGCCCCTCCCTTCCCAGCTTCACTTCCCACCACCCCAGCACCCCCTCCGCCTAGGCCCCGTATGTTCCCTGAGCAAACTCCCAACAGGTCCTGCGGGTGCAGGCCCTTCTCCCAGCGTGCCCCCACCCAGGCCCACCACAGAGCTCCGACACCCTCTGCAGGGGCTGGAGAAGTCCTCCGGGACACCCCTGCTCGTTGGGCCCCCTTCTCACTCCTGCTGACTTTCAGGGCTCCAAGAGCAAGCCTGGATACAGCCATTGTCGCCCTGGTCACTGCAGCACGGGGTGGGCACAGGGCAGGCGGGTGGCTGGAACTGCCCGTGGTGGCAAACAGTGTTCTGCCCCCGCTGCTGTGCACCTGCCTGCCCCGGTCACTTGAGGGGCTGAGAAAACGTTCCCCTCTGCTTCCCACAGCTCCGCAGCCGCAGAGTGGGAAGGCAAGGCGGAGGGGCTTCAACAGGTCCCACCCTGCCAGGGGAGGCCAGGGCTCAACCTCGCCAAGAGGCATCTGCGCTTGTCAAGAGGAGCTCACCCTGAAGGGCATCTGAGCTGGGAAAATGTGTGGGGAGGGCAGCGTCCCGGGCAGAAGCATGCCTGGCTTTCTTGGTGAGGTCCCCGCCCCGCCTGTCCCCACCTCCACCTGGAACCCCACATGCAGGCCCAGGCCCTGGTGGAGTGTCTGCACGCCCATGGTAGCCCGAGAAGTCAGGGCCATGCAGGGTTCTGGGGTTGTCCCCGAGGGCTAGGGGCCAGAGCCAGCCCACAGAAGAGGAAGGCAGGAGAGTCCTGCGGGGTCGGACCAGGAGACTTGCCCACGGGCCTTGGCAACCAAAGGGTGGACGTCTTGAGGTGGACGATGCCTGGTGGCGTCCGAGCATTGCAGGAAGCCACGCCCCACCTCTGCGCCCTGCACCCAGGGCGCTGCCTGACCCCACGGGCCAAGGAGGCCACCACAGCCATGTGCACACCCTGCCAGGCTTGCGGATGGCAGTTAGATGTCACACCCCTGTCCTTTCCAGCTGTAAGGGGCTCACATCCCCTCCCTTACCCTCACTTGGCCTCACAGCAACTGGGATGGCAGCCAGGCAACCCAGGGCGTGGAGAGGAGGGCCCTACGCAATGGGGCACGTGTCACAGAACTTGGGTCTTTGGGCAGGCAACACGCTGACCTAGAGGAGGCCAGGCCACGCTGCACTTGGGGTGAAGGAGTGGGCAC